ATAATTGATTCTTTAATACTGAAGTCATAACCAACAGCGCTAAAACTCATACCTGAAGGAAGTTTATCTAATGTATAGATAAGGCATATCAGAGCTTTCTTGTGCTCAGGAACTCTGGACAGTCAATATCTTAGTACTTTTAAAATGGCTTGAGCACCATTCTAAGGAGCCATGTCGGTCTTCCCCCCACCCCCCTCCACCCCTTTGAGGATAGAGGTAGAGAGAAAGAGGGAGGGAAGCCTAGCACAAAAACGTAAAAAACTTTATTTTCTGTGCAAAGGTTGCTTGTTGCAGTATAAGAGCTAAAATAGGAAGGCAGCGTGTATCCTTGTTCAGCCTCAGCTGGGGAGGTGCCTGTTGGGCGAGTTAGTTTTTCCCACTCTTCACATGCCTACAAAATGACCACAAAGGTACTGTACATACTTGGGTTACAAAGAAATCTCAGTGAATAGGTAAACTGTAAATGCAAATTGGCCAGCCGTGCTTGCACTGTACTTGGTTACTGACTTCCCCAGGCTCGTTGCTGCATTCTCCGCTAGGCTGGTGCAAAAAGAATGGAGGCTCAGACAGTGAATTGTAAGTCACTATCTCTAGGTTCAAATGCATCTTTATTAATCAAAATGGAAACCATTACAAATCAACACATCGTTATTAATGAGAAGTTTATTTCTGCAGCAGAACAATCTGTGCTTTGCAATTTGACGGACTCTTGGAAAGCATTTTCTACATTCTGTGGGTTTCGGGAGTATTTTTCTTGCTAAAAATTGTGGAAATGCCCCCCCCCAAAAAAAGAGTGATGGTTGGTGAGAGATCAGGTGAATATGGCTGATGAGGCGAAACATAGCCCAATTTGTTCACCTTTTGAAGCGCTGGTTGTGCGATGGGCGGTGGGACATTGTCATGGTAAAGACATTGACAGAATTGGGCCCTGTCTTTTGACCAGTATAGCTGCAAGCACTGCAGTTTTCAGTACGTCTCATCTGACGACTGAGCATACTTTCAGATGGGATTTCAGAGAGCTGTAGTAGATCAGACTGGCAGCACACCAGTGACTGTGACTTGCTTTTAGATGTAAATTTAGCTTTGGGCAGTGCTTTGAGGCTGCTTGGTCCACCACTGAGCTGGCCATTGCCAGTTGTCATATACAACCCACTGATTGCCCCTCGTCATAATCCAAGAAATGGTTGGTTGTTGTTGCATAGAATAAGAATAGTCTAGTTTACTCCAAATGCCCAACAACCTTTGAATAGTCACACTGCATTCTTCGGCAGCTTCTGGTGGTTTGTAAGAGGATCAGCTTCAGAGATTGGTGTCAACTTCCAATGGCCAGCCACTGAACTCCTGATCTTCAAGGCTCTTGTCTCCTTTGCAGAACTTCTGACCCCGCTACTGCATTGTGTGTTCACTAGCATTTCCTGAGCGAAGTGCGCTGTTAATCTTGCTAGTTGTCTCTCTTGCTTTACCATCCATTTTGAACTCAGATTTTAAAAAGAAGTTACTTGAATTTGTTTTTTGCTCAAAATCATTTCCGTAGTACAATAAATATAAAATAAATAATGTTGGGGCTAGAGAGATGGCTCAGTGGTTAAGAGCTTTTGCAGAGGACCCAGGTTCGATTCTCAGCACCCAAATGGGGGCTGACAGCCGTCTGTAACTCCAGTTCCAGGGGATCTGACGCCCTCTTCTGACCTCCACAGGCATTGCACGACACAGATGCACCTACCTACATGCAGGCATTACACTCACACACATAAAATAAAAGTAATAAATAAAATATTTAAAAAAATAAAAAAATAATGTCATTGACCAAAAAAACACATGAAGTGAGACATGAGCATTAAAATGGTATATAGCATAACTTTTTATTTAAGAATGTATTCTGGGGCTGGAGACATGGCTCAGAGGTTAAGAACACTGGTTGTTCTTGCAGAAGACCCAGGCTTGAATCCCAGCACCCACATGGCAGCTAACAACTGTCTGTAACTCCAGTTCCAGGGGATCCGACAGCCTCTTCTGACCTCCGCGGGCATTGCATGACACAGGTGCACTTACCTACATGCTGGCAATACATCCATACACATAAAAAAAATAATAAGTAATAAAATAAAAATTTAAAAAAATGTATTCCAAGGCCAGGTGTGGTGGGTCTTGCCTTTAATCCCAACACTCGGGAGGCAGATGCAGGCAGATCTCTGTGAATTCAATGTCAGCCTGGTCTACATAGCAAGTTCCAGGCCAGCTGGGGCTACAGGGAGACCCTGTCTCAAAAAGACCTAAAAAAAAAAAAACTATTCCAGTATCAAAATACAAATTTCAGTAACTCGAAAACTTCAGTTACTTTTGCATCAACCTAAATAAAAGATATTTCTTTAAGGGTATAGATTTGCCAGAAATCAGGAAAGAACATACCTGAGATTAAAATGTTGGTATTTAGTGTTTGTACTAAAATTCCGAATGAACATCGTACAGTGTTCAGAATTGCAGAAATTCAAAACTGAAATTTCCAGGGGAATATACATAAATATTGTCATTATTTCTTATTTTGTGCATATGCTGAGAATATTCAATTTCCTACATGTTTTTGAATTAGTTTTTCTATGGCATGAAACAGGATAGCTGACTGCAGAGTGCAGGGAGCAGAATTGACACTAGATGGCCTCATAGATCACTTGATAGCCACTAGGTATTACTATAAACCCATGAAAATAAAACCCATGAGAATATAGCCTGCCCAGGCCTTCGTTATATCTCTGGAAGTACCAGGAATTACCTGTGCCACTGTGATTTTTTTTACTGTATTTAATAAAAACAGGTTTACAGAAAAAGCTGGTCATTTAATAACCATTAAATTGTCTTTTTGAGGCAGAGGTAATTTTAAAAAGGCAATCATATTAAAGAATAAGGTGGATTGACTATAACTTGAATACTTTTTAGTATGACTAAAACTTCTTGTTTATTGTGTGTATATGTGCACGTGTAGGCATGCATGTATCATGGTGCACATGTGGAAGTCAGAGGACAATTTGTGGAAGTCTGTTCTCTCCTTCTACCATGTGGGTCCAGGGGATCTAACTCAGATCATCAGACTTACTAGCAGATGCCTTTACCCACCAGGCCATTTCACTGCCATTTTAGTATGCTTTAACACTGTTTTGAATGACTTATTGAATAATGTACAGTGAATCTGAAAATAATATCAGAGACGTTATCCTTGGTTGTCATCCAATAATATATATAAAATATAAATATAAAATATATAATATAAAAAATTCCAGAAAGTATTTTAAATATATTTTGGAAGTCATAAGATTTATTTATTTAATTTTGTTGTTTATTGTTTTACATGCATATATGGAACTGCATCCCTGTGTGTATAGTGCCCATGAAGGTTGGAAGAGGACATTGGATACCCTGGAATTGGAGTTACAGATGGTTGTTAGCCACCAGGGGCGTGCTAGGAACTGAACCTAGGTTCTCTACAAGAGCAGCCAGTGCCCTTAACCACTGAGCCATTTCTCCAGCCCCAGAAATCATAGGATTTAAATATGCCTTTATTGACAGTTGATAAAAGCAATTTTAAAATAGTGACTAGTCTGTAAAAACACCTTTTTTATTTATTTAAATTTTTGTTTTATCTTACAAAGAATTAGGTTTCGTTATGGTAA